AGAGCGAAAATGTTGCAAGCGCCACTGGTCAGCTTTGGCGCCTGTAACAGTAGCGTGCGTGCCAGCGCCTGCACCTGTAGCATGCGAAGCCTGAGCCTACCACAGGTGCTCAATGAACAAGTGAAAAAGATAAGAGTGGAAAAATCTCAGAAGACAAAGTTTGGCTCCCTCCAAAAGAGAAATAATTGGCACCATTCACACTCTATGCCCATTCCTCCAAATTCAGGCTAGATTTAGGTTTGAAAAAATTCTAGCGCAAACTCGGATGAAAGGTTGTTCCTGAGAGTAGTTTGACCCCCCCCATCACGAATGTAACGTCAGCTTGCGAAAAAAAAATTGGCGTCCAGCGTAACAATGGACGTCGTACGCTGGGGATCCCCACAGAGCGCGCTGTTGTATTTGGTCGGGCCGCTGGAGGAAATGCAGTCTTTTTTCTCTAAGAAAACTGTTTCCGATTGTTGACTCTTCCCGGTAGTTCCTTACCCGAATGCGTTGTATAACCCCCCCCCCCCTGTTCGACAACTGTTTTTTAGGGCAAAAGTGAAGAATTCGAAGAAAAACCCCGGAAAAGGAAGTGAAGATGGGGAAGGGGCTCGTGCCAGGGAAAAATTCTGGAGGTGGAGAGGGGCGTATTTAGCAAAATTTTTTTCAAACGGCAGCACGTGCCCTGAGCATCACTGGTGGTATTATGGCGCCTTAAGCGCACGTGCCACTGAATGCACTCCAAGGTAGTGTGGTACTTTGGTAGTAGTATTTAATTAACAGGTGGGAGGGGTAGACATTCCTCCCAAGAAAGAGTTGCAGTCAAATGTACCCACCAGCAGAAAATCTGGTCAGAATCTGAAAGAAATTTCGGACAGAGTGGCAGTAAAGGGTAGATAGTGACGAGTAATCCCTCCAAAGGAGACGAGTCCCTACTCGTGAAAAACCTTTGATGGGCCTGGGTGACAAAGTTTGAGAGGGCAAAGTGTTTCTCGAGGTCAGGATATGTCCTTCCGTTGGGATCTTTAGCGTTGTGGGGGTCGCATTTGGTCCCCATACCCCTACCTCACTCTTGCCCATTCAAGTGACAGTAGTTTCCTTGCGAAAAAGGTGGAATTTCGAAAAAAGTCCCCGGAAGTAGACAGCAGCAAGCCTCAACGTAGGAAAAAAGAGGAAATTTGGGGACGGTGAAGGTGCGTGGTCATGTTTGTCCACACAGCTGGACATTGCGGCGCTCTAACAGAAGTCCCCCAACTTACAGTAGAGACGTTTGAAATGGGGACGTGGTAGATCGATAGAGTCTATAAGGTTATTCACAAGTATGGATAGCAAAACTGCAACATGTATTTTACAAGCAACTTATGAGCAGGCAAAGTTTGTGCAATAGGGTGGAGGCTTTTGGTGTTGGCTGTGATGAATAAGCTCACCACCAAGCCCACCCTATTGCACAAATTTACTGCTCATAAGTTGCTTGTGAAATGCAGGTTGCAGTTTTGCTATCTATATTTGTAAATAACCTTATAGACTCTATCGATCTACCCAGGTCTCCATTCAAAGTTCCATGGTAAGTTGGCGGACTTCCCTGGTAAGGAGATGAAAAGAGGGATTTCAAAGTTAGAATAACGAGAAAGAAGTGAGGATCTCTCGATGAAGCCACTGTAACCTGTCGGATCGAATCACCAACAGCAGTCTCGATTTGAACGCCACGAAACAATTCAGTGCTTATGTTTTTCTAGAGATCCGCATACGTATCGGATAACACAGAGAGCTACCCTATTCATGCAGCTGGGCGATAGAAAACCAAACAAGGAAAACCAGAAGACGTGGTGATATGATGATACGGCAATGAGTGTCTTGACCAACAGCGACTTCACAGCAAATCATCTTGGGCGGACCGGTTTTCCCTGAACTATCAGATCAGCAGCCACAAACCAGTACAATAATATGCTTGCGGCGTCAATAGATAAATTAGTCACATTTAACGCTTATAAAGCGCTGTTTCCAGTCGAATAGATTAGTGATCCAATCCATTCCCATGGATCATTCCTCGGACACATTTTGGAAACGATTATGTAGTCCTCTCAATCAAGTCTCATTCAAAGACAACGATCGCGATAGCAATTAAGGATCATTTCCGAAAACTTAAATTAGTGGTGGGCAATGTTACAGTATAGGAAGGTGAATAAAGAAAGAGAAGGTCACTTTTCGCCGATAAAACACCAGTGGACGAGCTTCCCGGCCTTCCTTAATTTTTACTTTTATGTTATCCGAGCTTTCTTATACAGCATCCAGTTTTCCATTTTTGTTCCAAGACCAATCGAATTTTGGTAAGCCTTTCCGTATCAAAGGGTTTCAGGCAGTCCCTTTGAGATTACGGAACAAAATCCTAAATCGCTCAATGTTGCGGCCTCACCTTGGAGACAAACTGTACATTCACCACCGAGGACGGTCCTTGCCATGTGCGAGACAAATGGGTCCGCAGCTGCAGTAGCCTGCCACAAGCCCAATCAGCAGGATTCGATGTGCAACCAATTCCCGGCAGGAGCACAGGAAATCACCTACGACGCTCCAGGCAACGCTATGTACACACGCAATTCCGCTTGTAAGCCGTTGTCTTGCAGAGTGAAAGTAATCGTGGTTGCAATGGTTGCAATAATCACGTGTCTCTAGTTTTTAACCTCGCCGTTTCGAGTGACGAAAATGGTAGATTCTCTGAGAATGGGGAAAACGGTGCTAAATGCAAGAGGCATTTTGCGGACCAATTGATTGCGTGAACTTCTTCAGTGGTCCGCAGCGACAGTAACCTGCCATTTTTTCCGGTTGAAAGTGCATGGAAACGGGACTGGAGGGTAGTGATACCCTGATGCGCACGCGCACTATCCTCCTTGTACAGCGCTTGCGTCGATAGCAAGGTCCTGCACAAAACATCCGCTCAGCAACCAGCCATTGCTGCTTGTCTGCACCCTCTCAGTTCTGGTAGAGAAGAACGAGAAGTGAGAGGGTGCAGACAAGTAGCGGGCTTGGCTACGGTTAGGCGAGTGGCTGACCGTGAGGCAACACAGGTGGAATAGAGTGACGGCATCTGGATATCACTACCCTCCTGCCCCGTTCCCGTGCACTTTTGATTGGAGAAGGTGACACGCTGCTGCAGCTGTGGGCCTGCCAGCCTCGAACATGGCGAGAATCGAACTAGAATCGAAGGAAGAATTCAGTTTGTTCTCAAGAAACTTGTTTTTCGGAAAACTTTTCTAGATTTGAGATTCGAATAAATTGTTTGATTCTATTTACACAAACATGTTTTGGGTCACACCTCTGACTTCCGATTTCTCTATCAGGTTCTGGAAATTGAGGAAATGGATGGAGGTTATGGCCCGAAACAACGTTCTATTCAAAGTTCAGAAAAATTGCAATCTACTTTAGAGCGATAATCTTGAAAACTAAGGAAGATAGCATCTCAGTCATTTTTCTACATAAAATATGGGCAAATTATTCAAGAGAAGAAAGAAAAGAAAAGAGAAATTGAGTGTGAATCACGAAATGTAAGAAACTGGCTGTTAACTGGGTCAGCCAACCGGTAAACACGTTCATTCTTAATGCGCTCTCGACACACCTGCAAAAAGGATTGTACTTTATTGCTCTCACTCTTTCGCCTTCAGACGGTACATTATGCATTTTATATTGCCATTATTAACACGAAATTTGGCAACGATTCGGCTAACATGGGAGAACATTTTAAGAGCATTCCCTTTGCAAAAAGGAGGCAGCCGTAATACAGATGAGAGTTCCTGCCTGATTTTAGTGGTGCAGTAACACTGCAAGACTCTCCCTCCTTCATTCACCGTGAGCGGTCGACCTCACCACTCCTCCACTCCTTGCTCACTCAACCACCGAAGAAAGGAGAGACGGTCCGGTCCAACACGCAGTTGGCTAGCGCGGACCGTATGCCAAAAAGACAGGACCGGCTTCGCATTTGCACCATGAATGTCCGTTCCATTGCCACCGCGGCAAGACTTGCCGACTTCGAAGCCGCGGTCGAGAATGTCAAGTTCGATGTCATTGGAGTCTCGGAGACACGAATGGCTGGCAAAGGAAGAATAGACCTCTCAAGTGGGTACTCTTTATATCATAGTGGTACTGAGGAACGAACCAAAAGAGGTGTAGGATTTTATGTACCGTCATCGTTGAATCAACACAGCGATTGTTTCTTTCATTCTGAACGAATGATTGAGCTTTGCATAAAACTAGCCGATAGGAGCACTCTCCGTATAATACAAGTTCACGCGCCCCATTCAGATTTTCAAGATGTGGAATACGAGGCGTTCTTAGACAATCTTGCTCATGTTCTCGATGCCAGGAGAAGTAAGCACCAAGTGATTCTGGGCGATTTCAACGCAACTCCTGGTTTACGCCGTAATGAAGAGCGATACATTGGTAACAATTCCTCAGGAGCTCGAAATCACCGTGGACAAATGTTGGCCGACTTTTGTGAGGAAAGAAAGCTATTTCTTGCTAACTCGTTCTTCAAAAAGAGACTTGACGATCGGTGGACATGGCGAAATGATGCCTTGGGACTGAAGAAAGAGATTGATTATGTATTGTTGAGAAGTATGAAGGGCGTTGTCGATGTAGGAGTGCTCACTAGTGTTAACACGGGGAGTGATCACCGCATGTTAAGATGTAAAATGCGTCTGAATCCGATCTCACAACCAGTAAGAAGACCAAGAGGATTCCCCGTTATCGACAGCGACTTATTGTGTTCAACCGCTCAATGTTTACTACATGAAAATATGATGACTGGCGATACAATCAAAGATTATGATACCACCAGTCGGATCGCACGGCTGACGCCGAGCTCTCCTCCTTCTTTTTAGCTCGGCTTCGCCGAGCTGGCCTGGCTTCGCCAGGCGCACATCATAACGGGATGGAATTAGTTAATTGTATGAGCTGCTCATATTGCGCGGTAGTGGTCGAATCATAATAGACAGAGTAACCTAGCGAAATCTGCACCCCTCAGAGTTGCGGAAGGCGTGCTGGTTTCGGCCATAACGCCCATTCTATACGTAGATCTTGGAAGTAGATAGGAAGTACAGAATATGTGTTGCACAGTAGATAAACACATTCCGTTTTTATTACCTGCATCACAACACCAACGATGGGCGATTAACTTGTCATTAACATGCAATCCACCTGCTAAGGTTGCATGAATGGCTGCAGATGACAATATGGCAGCGTTCATTGAATATCTTACAAACTACTTCGTTATTCGTTCTCATCAGTGATTTAATGTTGAAAAGCAAAAAAAAATATTTAAATACTCACTGAACGCATAAAGTGTGTTCCATTATTGGAGTTTTTGATTTCTCCAAACTTCCTGTTTCAGGGCGAAGTATATACCCCCCCCCCCCTAGTGGGATGAGTACATTTTTAGTGCTATCAGAGGAGTGATGGCTGTGGGAAAATTTCGCTTACTGAGAGGCTTTTTTGGCAGTGTAGTGGTCAGAGATGTCGTGAAAATGTCCCCTTATCTTTACTTATCAATTGATAAAATTGCTTGTCACTCGTCATCAATGTCGCTATCACTAAAACTCCATAATTTCGTGGTGTAGAGGCTCCAGCGTTTGATTGAACAACAACTGCATCGTTCTCTATCAGGCCCTATCAGCTGTTATCATTTCTTGTCACCCGCCGTCGCATTCTCCACCTTCCCCTTGATATCATTTGCTGAAACCAACGCCTAACTGATGCTGTGTACCGCGTTATGGGTATGTTGTCCTTTCCACTCTAACTCCCTTTATCAGCGGCTAGCAGTTCTTGTCACCCACATATTCCTGTGCCATAACCTATATCATACCTTGAAAAAACGCCCCAGTGTTCCAGTCGGACCGTCCCTGCTTCCTTCTCTTGCGCATGCTCAGATCGGGCTGAGCACGCGCAAGGGAAGGAAGCAGAGGGGGGCGCCCAGTGCCCCCCCTCCTCTCGGCCCCACCCCACCCTGCCCCCGCACGAGCACACGTCCAGCTGCCACGCCAGCAGCTCGTGCAATGGCTCGGAGTGTACCGAATGGTTGTTATATAGCGGAGGCCGATATCACGATCAAAACATTGGATTGCTACATCCTCCCAGTCGGTTACCGGTTTGCCTAGCGGTCGTTTTCGCCTCCAGCGAACTTGAACCCGTGAAGTATTGTGCGGACGGACAGACAAACATACATACATACAAACCTACATACAAACATACAAACCGACACACAAGTTTACTGGTTTTATAATAGTAAGGATTACTCGCGTCATAACAACAGCTACTCAGATGTCCACAAGGTATGAATATCTCCCACCACGTCTATCACCAAGGACCCGGGATCTCCTCCAGAGACGACGAGAGCTACGTCACGGAGATAATGGGAGGGGAATCGTGGAGTATGCTGAGATTTGCAAGCTAGCCCGAAAATCTATCCAAGAAGATTTGCGACAACGTCATATTCAAATATTTCGTCAAGCCATCAAGTCCGGACGCCTTCGACGTGGGCGCATGCAAGCTTTACACGCAAGAAGATCCTTGACAATCCTGAAAGAAACCACCTCCTCCCCTCCTAGCGACCCCTCCCCATCAGATGAACCTTTTCCTGATCACGTGTCGCAGTCAGTGAAAGCAGTGAGAAATTTTTATAACGCACTGTACCACTCCTCCTTCGGCCCACCCACTCCACCATCAGGCCAAATAAATCTGCAGGTCCACAATAATGAAGTGCAAATGGCAATGAAGAGAAGCAAAGCACGTTCAGCTGCTGGTTCCGATGGCATTCAATCCCCTTCTCTTCGTGCTCTTTCACAAATACTCGCCTTACCCATAACACATTTTTTCAACAACATGATAAGGACAAAGGTTGTGCCTGCAAGTTTTGCATTCGCTCACACCATTCTACTCTACAAAGCTGGAGACCCATCTAACATCGCTAATTACAGGCCAATATCGCTGCTGTCGACGCTGTATAAGGTGCTGACAAGAATATTTACAGACCGTTTGACAGCCACAATTGAGGAAAAGTCAATTCTACCACCGGAGCAGGCTGGTTTCCGCAAGCACTTCTCGACCATAGATCATATTCACACTATTAATATGATTACCGAGAAATGTCACGAGTTCAATATAGAGCTATGTGCCGTTTTCGTCGATTTTAAGAAGGCCTTCGATAGCGTGGAACTTCCAATGATATGGAAAGCGTTGGAGTATTTTGGTGTGGAGGAGAACTTGATAATGGCCATACAACTGCTGTATGCACACAGTACCGCTGCCGTCAGAATAGCGAACCAACTAGCAGAGTTCAATCTGCAGCGGGGTGTAAGACAAGGAGACTCAATGTCTCCAGTTCTCTTCACATTAGTTCTCCAGTACGCGCTGAATCTGATAGATTGGCAGGGCAAAGGACTGAAACTAGGGAACAAAACCCTCTCGTACCTAGCTTATGCTGATGATATTGTCCTTCTCGCTCATAGTTGTGAAGATATTGGAATAATGGCAAAAATGTTGGCCGATGCTGCGGAGAAAGTGGGACTCACTATTAATTTTATGAAGACGAAATGGATGAGATTGAGTAAAGCCGATCTAGGAGATATCGACGGTCCCTTATACGTGCAGGAAAATGAAATCGAACGAGTCGACCATTTCAGTTATCTCGGTCAAAGGATAACGTTCCCGCGAAATCCTAAGGATGTGATCCATAGTCGTATTCAAGCAGCTCGTGCCTCATACTTCAAGAACCGACTGTTCCTTCGACAACCTCGAGTGGAAATGAGTTTGAAACGAAAACTTATCAATATGTGTATCCTACCAACAGTGTTATATGGTTGCGAAACATGGGTATGGACAAAGGAAGTGGCGATGTGCCTCAGAACAGCACAAAGACGTTTAGAAAGAGCCATACTTGGAGCTAGGCTTTCGGACAAAATCTCATCCAAAATCCTACGCAGAAGGACATCGCTGAAAGATTGGGTGGTTTCGGCACTACAAAGAAAATGGTCCTACGCTGCGCGTCTCTCAAGAAGGTCCCCTCAAGACTCCTGGGCTCGAGTGGCAACTGACTGGATACCACAAGGAAAAAGAGGTCTCGGACGTCCCAGAACAAGATGGCTGGACGACTTCGCTCGTTATACTGGAGCAAGGACCAGAGACATGACTAGAAGATGGACGACATTATTCACCGCTGCCGGTTCCTCGAGAATCTTCGCACAAATGATCAAAAACACTCTATTTGTGTCTGTGCGATAAAGAATAAAGTATAGTATAGTATATCGTAACACTGCAATTCCCCTCTACCACCCGATTCTTCGGAACTTATGGTTAGGCCACAACTTGATCACAGTTGCGTTCTGGCGATAGATTTGGCCGAATTTCCCTTCGAAAATGTTCTGATCACTGAATACAAAGGCTGTACACGTCTAGAGGCAAAAGGCTTTCACCAAGGTGCCATAGGTGTCACCGTGACGCGTCAGTCCACATACAGATGCTCTTTGTGAGCGCACAAGGCGTCCCGAGCCAAGCGATGATTTATTTTCGCATCTGGTGGAGAGGATCAAATCACTCAAATCTTAAACAAATTTTGAGATTGTTCGCTTTTGAGCGATTTGGCACGGCGTCGAGAAGTTTCGGGTCAACGGGGGTGATATTCGAGGGAAGCCAGAAGAAGCCAGAAGGACCCTAAGGGACGAGAGACCAGTCAACTCTATCTCCGGAAGAATTCATAATCATCAGAATATGCCCCGAATTGCAAAGAAAGGAAAATAAAGAGTAAATAGTATCACAAAAGCATAATGTTTCTTCGAAAGCAGAAACAGTCAGAATTGGCCCCGCTGCTTGGCCGGGACCGACGCTTCCCCCTGACCGTTTCTCCTTTATACTGCCAGTTACTGTCTTCTTTTTTTTCGGGCTGGCTGGTCCTTGCGGGAGTTTATCCGCGATTTGACTCCGAGCCGTGCACTTTTCACGCTACGCCATTTATCTTCACCATATCCGCTTGCTTTGGCGCTGTTGGAACAACGCTTAAAATATTGTCTGAGCTTTCATATAATGTGGGCCCGTTCAAACCTGCCTGTGCTATAACGATTTGGCGCTATTCGGCTTGGGATTGGCATTTCGCGCTTTCGCTAGTTTCCCTTGTTAGTCCCCGTTGACTCACACGTCTTAACCTGTAAATTCTTGCCAAGTTTGAACGAAGTTTCTGCCACTGCACAGCTTTACAATGCTTTACAGGTCTACACTGAAGGCATCGGTAGTAAGCGGTATAAACCAGGAAATTGAAACCCCCACTGAGCGTCCACGATTCTTCACAAAATCTGAACAGTATGAGCATCTCTTAGTTGTAATTAGTGCTGGAACGAATACCTATGAGAACCCAGGGCTGGACGTTCTCCCAAGGTTTTTTCCTCTCTTCGGTTCACATTCCCACAAGAGTCGAGTGGGACGCAATTAATTAGGAGGGCGTTGCTGCAGCAAACTTGATCAGTTGCGCGAGCGCTGGAAATTCGCCCATGCAAGAAATGCATGCAAAAAGTATTTCCCCACTGGACACGACCTTCTTAATCAGTGAAATTAGGTACCAGATTCATTATTTATTCTATCAGATCGATTCTGTCAAAAATAACATGTGTAGTATCATGTATAGAAACGAAGGTGATGAAGAAAAAGGAAAGGTGTGATGACATTGAATGGCGAAACGGAGTAATGACTGCGCATCGTAAAAAGGTGAACAGTTTTGTTCGCTGCGGATAAGGGGGCTGGGTTTGGCTCGCCGCCAGCCCGTTCTGCTCCAGCTGTTGAAGGGATAAGAGTTACGAGGGCCATTTGAAGTATTCTCGGTATCGGAGTAATTTAGCAGTGACGAAGGAATTTTAATCATTTCGTCAATCATCATGACCTAACGACACTCCCTAAGGGTAAAATACAGAATTCCATTCAGTTATTACCAATGCTATTCTAGTTATCCTTGATGAAAGAAGGCTAGGATGACTGATGTGTCAATGTTGAAGAAATGGTCGAAAAAATTCAGAAAATGAAAAACTGAAATTGAGAAAATGATGAGAGATTAATTTTGTTCCCCAACCCAAAAAGATCTTCGTGAAAAGCGTTTTTCTGACGATGAAGAGCTGAAGGCGGCAATTAACGCACATTTGGGGACAAGGAGGAAAAATATTTTCAAGGGTATTGAAAAGTTAGTTTCCCGAGCAAACAAGTGTATTGAGGTCATAGGGGACTACAGTGAAAAATAAATTTTATTCAGAATTTTCTGCCTTTTCCTTCATACCTATCCGAGAATTCATTGAACGCCCCTCGTAGCAACTTGGTGGAAAACAAGTGATACGAACCGTATAATACAGTCTTTTCACCAGACAAGAGAAAAAAACAGCCTGGCATCAGGCCGAATCCAGCCCCCCCCCGTCACGCCCCATCATCCGCATCGAGCAAGGCCGTAGGTGACGGAAGGGAGGCGAAAGTGACGTAATGGCTCGGAGCGCTCCATTGCAACAGCTTGCGGAGACCAGATAATTGTTGTCAAACTTGTCTACGAAAATGGAAACGGTGAGCTGACTGCACACTACCGCGCGCAACTCATTTATAGCCCATAAAGAACCAAGGCTAGGGAAGGGGGACATTTGCTAGTTCGTTCCGCTAATTCACGCTAACTAACAGGTAACACCTGTTTAAACCTGTACACTCTTGTGGAGCTGTGTAACGGTAAAAGTGAGCCAATTTCGTTACATGAATTTACTTACAGGTCTTCACATGATGGCCTGTCAAGGCTTCGCTGAGTACCTTTTGCTGCCCCCATCAAACCGAACAGTGTCGACTGAAGAACTGGGTACTTGGCGCTAAGACTAAATGCAAGTAGGCAAAAATAAGCTTGATTAACATTTTGTCTACACAGCCTTTGGTGGAGAGAATGAATGCCCGAAATATTATCAATTTTTTCGCTGATTGTTGTTTATAGGGTAAGCCACGAATTCTTCTTCTACTCAAGGCTGCCTTGAACAGGATTGTGATAACCTATGAAGGTCAGCCTCGTCATGTGAGAGTCAATTTTGAATGCTATCGCTCATCACGTCATCAACCCTAGAGCGGTGCAGTACGTGGTTAGCCCGCGGGGGGGACAGAAGACTAGGAAGCCACTGCTCTATCAAACGTCTTCACCATTTGGATGGAAGCTGCATGAGGAACTAAACTCTGAATTTACTCAATTTGAATCTTCGAGCTATGGCCAGGAAATCTGTCACTTCTTCAGAGTATAATATTTTCAGATAGTCTTCGAAAAAGGAGAAGGTCCCAACACAGGCGAGTAAGAAAGCCTAGCCTGAGGAGGGAAAAAGACTGTTTATGATAGCAGTTCCACCCTTATCAGTTAGTGAAGACCGCAATTGTATGCCATGTTTTCTAACCACCAACCTGAAAGTGCAAAGTGACTAGGTACGAGGGAAAAGTAGAGGTCACCGAAGAAAAGGCCTCAAATATAGTCCGATCTACTGTCAGCATTAACGAGCGTGGGCTAAATAGAGACGCAGAGACGCTAAGTGAGTACTCAGGCAAGAGATCGTGTGAGGCGAAGCGCGGAGGGCGGAGAGAGGTATTACGCGCCCTTCAAACCGGAAGATAGCAAAAGCCAGAAACCAAAAATTCTCTCAACGCAACTACGCCCTCCCTCCGCTCCTTAGAGGCTTAATACGACCTCCCTCGTCATTGGCGATCCCCGAAGTACGCGTTCTGACTGAAATACACCCGAGGGTGCGACAAAGACTCATAAAAGAACTCAAAAAGCAGAAGCCCAGGTTGCAACAGCTGGAAATGGCTAACCTTCTAGCCATTATAAGCATCTTGCGCCCGTGGCAAAGTGGCAATTGTGGCGCAATAAGTGAATTTGGACCTGTTCCTCTCATACCCCGCGAAATATGCTAGGGAGACACCACATGAATCTAGCTCCCATCGCATCATTCACGGTTTATTGAGGGTTGGAAGCTATGAAATCGTTCCTTCATGAGCACCCCTCCCCCCAACTATCAGAATTGAAAATGAACTATAGATTCACTTTATTTCAGAGATTATGATACTTGTTTCAAGCACTCAACTTCCAATTCAGGTCAGAAAACTGCTGGCAATTCTAAATATATCTTTTAGGGCTGAAAACATCTTTGGAGCTGGTCGGAATCCTAATATAATTGGAACATTACTTGGTTTCTCGCTTGTTTTTCTTGCTTCTTGCTCAAAACGTGTCCGGACTAATGGAGGGGACAACTGTTGCAGGGTTGCCTGAGCAGCAACATCTAACATACCCGGGAGCAGGAATGCCATTTTAGAGAAAAAGAAACCGTCACGATAATAGCACTCAATTTCTAGGTAGGACAGTAAAACCGCTGGCAATTCTGAAATATCTTGGGACAAGTCACTCATTATATGACTACTAGTCGACTAACGTGGTAGATTAAGTTTTGCTAACGTTATTCCACTTTATCCCCATCAAGGGACTGCTTTGGAGATCAATCATGAGTTTTTCAGTGGCTTCGCTGACCTATAGAGCACGCCCCGCCTACTGTGGGCGGGTTTACCATAGGGTCACGGGTGCTATTTACATCTTGTCCCATGCCCTACCCATCCCGACCTTGACCCCACCTCTCCAAGTTGTTCTTCTGGTAGAACCGAATTTCCGGACAGACAAACAAACAAACAAACAAACAAACAAACAAACAAACAGACGAAGCAAATTATATATAGTGGGTGATGGGGGATGGTGGAGACTCCTAGCATATCATTGCGACATCGGAGAGCACCGGTCTGGAGATTCGTGGTGACGCAGAAGCTAACCTAGCAGTTTGGGTTAGCTTGCTCGGTCACTATGCCGTATGCACCTCCAATCAAGTCAACTAGATCCTGGTGAGAACACCGCGCACGCTACGTCACCTCTGTCGCCCGAAACACGTACAATCCATATCTGAGGAAAAAAAGGCGCACGGCTGAAAGCAATGAATGTTAGTATGAAGGAGAGGCATGTGTTTTCAAGAGAGGAGAGTCGGTACGGGAATTGCGTGCGGTTAACGCCCCTTTCTGCCGTCCGGTATGGACAGCCTTCCTAGCCGTGCTGACTTTCCGAGGCTTGAGTGGGAAGAATAGGCTATAGTTTCAGTGTAAGTGTGATTGAAGGAGGTTTTTCAGAATATCTGGATACTGTGGGAAAATTATAACATAAACGATAGAAATTAAAATAGGGCACATCTTGCCATTACATGAAATTTTCGCAAAATACGAACTCCCCTCGTCGCAAGCACCCCTGGCAGGACCTCCCTCCCCATTC